ACTCCACACAGAAACACCAACTGAACCGAGGTTCGAACCAGCGACCCAGTGACCTTCTTGCTGTGAGGCGACAGTACTACATACTGCGCCACTGCCTCGCCTTGGATGGCTTAATTATTAAGTGTAAAAAGCCTGAAAGCCAACAAAATGTCTACAAGCCACTAAAGAGTCCATTTGATTCAAGATGTTCTTAGTTTTAGTCTATTGTTTAAAATAGCAACATGTCTAATTTAGTTGTTCAAACAGTCTGTATTATGACACAGCAGTGCACTATTGCAGCGCAGCCATGTCCTCTGCTGTCCCCTGGAGGTTTGAAGGAGCTGTCGTGTATCTGTCTCTGATGGAGTCAGTGTACTGCAGGACTGTCCCACTGCACTTTCTCCATCACCTCTACACCCTAACTCTCTATCTGTGGGACGAAGGGTGGGGATTGGGAGCTGGGAGGTGGGTCTCTCTTCCACAGGCTGAAGCGCAGATAGGGCTCTGGGTTTGGGGGGATCCAGTGCCGGCTCAGCATTCAAGCATGGAAAGTATGAGGTGAGGTATGCAAAGATGGCTCTAATACACACGACACAATACACAGGACACACATAAACACAAACACACACAGAATGACATATGAATGAAGCAGAATAAAACAAGTGAAATCAAATACAGCATGCATAATCTGTCAGTTGCAGGGTAATTGTCACAAAACAATATAAGAGTATAAAGTACATTTGTATATGGTAAGAATTTTTGAAGCCTCATTTTGGTCAAATTTATATTAATAATTTAAAACAAATATAAGATGTTGAGTTGCATATTTTAGAAATTGTATTACTGTACTTATAATATTATATTTAGATATTTTCAGATAGAATATATGATGTCATACTATGCAGATCAACTATCCAAAATAATTTAATGTCAAACAGGCATATTTGTTTGAAAAGAAAGGTCAGATTAAAACAGATTAGAAAAGTTTCAGATTTAACTGGTTAGTAAAGCCAGAATGTTCGCGACTCCCAAATTATTCTGAGTAAAGAACTAAAACAGTCCTACTCTCAGTGTAAAGTTTTTCTCTATAGTCAAGTAAAGTTTTTTTGCTCTCTAGCACTTTTCTCAGATTTTACACTTTTAAGATGTAGAAAGGTGAATACAATAAATCTGAATATTTAGGTTGTATAGGAAAAAAAAACACTATAAATATTTTTTTAGCTTCTGCTAAAGGGGATAATTCCCTCAAAAACAAAAATTTCCTCACCATTATCTCACCCTCAATAGGTTCAAAAATATGTACTAGTTTCTGTCTTCTGTTGAACAAATATCAAAAGATGTTCTGAAGAATGGTGAAAAATACTATGGATTTCAATGGCCTCTGCTTTCCAACATTCTTCAGATATCTCCTCTTGTGTTCAACAGATTAAAGAAACTTAAACAAGTTTTAGTGGACATAATGACACAAATTTTATTTTCAAGCCAGGCTAAGATAACTGCTTTGCTAGTATGTACAATAACAACAGACAAATATAAATAAATTCAGTAGTATAACGTTTCAACCAGTACTGTGTCTAAGCTTTTTTGTCAAAGTTGATTAGTTGCATTTCTAATGCCAAAATATAATAAATGCTTTGTCCATGGATTTATTGTTTTAAAAGAGAAGCAGAACAAAACTTTTAAACCACATTTCAAATAATCAATTATTGTTATTTACTTGCAGTCTTTTTTTTTAATCTTTTATTTATTTATTTATTTTACTTCAGAGAAAATTTGATTGCACTTTGTCAAATTTAGGCAGACAAACTTAAAATGGTAAAATGTCAGGAATTGACATTGGTACTGAGAGTGAAAAAAATCCACATCAATTCATTTTACAATTCTGGATGGTCTGTATTATGACAAGTTGTCTAATAAATGTATTAATCACCAAAAGTGAGAATGGTAGGATTTTAAATAGCACCCTGAGTCATAGTCAGGCACTCTGGATGGATGCCAAGTGGTGTGTATAACTTTGAAGAAGTACTGTACACTAATAAAAAAAAAAGGTTAAAATCGAAGATGTTTTTAAAGGCAAACTTTGAACATCCAGGGTAACGACTAAACAGACAGATTAATAATAAATAACATTGTTTTCTTTTTGTGTTACATTTATATTTATGCATTTTGCCCTTTTTCCTAAACTAAAACATATTACAAAATAACAAAATACAAATTTTAAACATCTCTTTTTAATCATCTTTTTATTGTCACCATGTCCTTTTACTTTAAATAAGTCTTACCATGGAATATGCTATTTACACAAAAAGACAGTGATTGTTACTTACTGTGAGTATTGCGCGATAATGTCAGCAAGTGGTAAATGCAACTTGATTTAATAGACATTTTAATAGAGATTTGATAGAGATTTTCCAGTGGTCATGGCAGCAGTAATTCATCAACTCAGGATCAAATGCCTGTAAAGAGTGCTATAGCTGGGCATTTGTCCAGATGTGTGGTGTAATTGTGCACACTTTCCTTTCCATTTTAAAGAGCTGGCTATAGTCATGATAGATTGTGGTTGCATGCCATTTGTAAGGTGAGAAATTTTGTTAATAAATTGCTTTGTTTTTCTGATCACCACCTTTGTGTTAAATACCTAAATAAGTTTGATTATTTTAATGCATAAAAATATAATAAATAAATGAATAAAAAATGACTGCCTAGATGTGCAAGTAGCACAATATGGGTGCCCAAAACTAAACAAACCTATTTTATTGTTTGTTAGTGTGGATGCAAATATATTTATTTTTATATTGGTAACACTTACAATAAGGTTGTATTAGTTAATGCTAGTTATTGTTTTTACTAACATGAACAAGCATTAGGAAATGTTGAACTATATTAATAAGTGCTGTACAAGTATCGTTCATTATTAGTTTATGTTAGTACTTAATACACTAACTAATGAAAGCTTATTGAAAAGTGTGTATTTATATTTACAGTTATAGTGCTTGGTGTGAATGAGTTTTTTACATCATAAAAGCCATTATTTTTAAAAGTGAAGAGATTGTTTTGTTTGTAAAGATAAAGATTTATCCAGTGGTGGTTGAGGTGAAAACTTGGACAGGAGGATCTGGTCCATGTTACCTCACATCTCCAGCCACCGTGTGCCGTCTGCGTTTAAGCTCCTCAGAGAAACGTCTCTTTCCCAAACTCCTTCTGTTGTCTGTCCCATTCACCCCCCACGAAATCCTCCTTTCTTTCTTTTCTTCTCCTTTACAACTTTCCAATGACTTTGACCTTTTGACCCCAATTCAATAGGAATGCATGCAATACAAGCAGTGATAGCAAGAAAAGTAAATCAAGCAGAAAACAATATAAGAAAAGCATGCAGAAAATCATTCAAGATTTCAACAACAGCAAGTCATGCAAAAGACAAACATCTAGCATGCAAATATCAAGCTAATATAAAAGAATTAGCACCGCAACCTTAGTATACACATAATCTTACATATATATATATATATATATATATATATATATATATATATATATATATATATATATATATATATATATATAGCAGTATTATTGTTAGAAGGGAGATAAATAAGCTTTGCAAAGGAATGTCATTTTGAGGTGATAGAACAAAATTTGATTTTATATGAAAAAAACCCAGCAGAGAATTAAAGAAAGTAAAAGTCCAGCAATTATACAATATGTAATGATATGTATGAATATCATGAAACTATTAAATGTTTTTTTTTAATTGATTTTTATTTTTTCAGGTATACATTACAATCTAAATTATTTGAGCCTGGTGATGTTTTAAATGCTTCTGAACTTTAAAAAAAAACATATTGTGAAGTATTTTTGCAATGTGAGAATGTCTGCTGTTTCAATATGTTTTCAAAATGTAATTTATTCTGTTAATAACAAAAACAATTCTCAATTTTTTTTTTCTTTAAAGTGTCACAACATCAATAAAAATTATTCCCAGTTAGGTACTCATTTAATTACATTTTTTAATATTCCTTATTAGTGTTGATGCTAATAATGGCTACATTGCTTGTTTTTAGTATTAATAAACCAAAAAAAATTAAAACAGAATTCAATCCACAAGTCTTTTCAATAAACATAAATTAATGTAATGTATACCTTCAGGAAAAAAATCATCACTAAAGTTACTAATATATATATATATATATATATATATATATATATATATATATATATATATATATATATATACATCTTGAAAAATATATCATAAAATATTATTTACTGACATCATGGCAAAAATAAAATAAATAAGTTATTAAAATTATTATGTTTAAAATTTGTTGAAAAAATCTTTTCTCCGTTAAACAGAAATTGGGGAAAAAAATAAACAGTGGGGGTAATAATTCAGCAGGGCTAATAATTCGGACTTCAATTACAGTATAAAGTATTACAGTACAATATATATATATATATATTGTTAACTTTAGTGGTGTGGTTTATTTTCTATTTACATCGAAGGATGTGTTACAGTAAGTTGTTACATGTAAGACGTCTTTGTTACATTTTCACGATGTAGCTTCTATCCAAACCGTCATTCTTACAGTTTAAACCATGTATTATGTATCAGTTTCTTCTACAAATTTAGTTAACTCTAATATTCGCTCATTTTTACACAGTTGTGTAAAAACTGTATAGTTTCTGTTTCCAGGCTCACCTGATTCTCCCGTGTGGCCTTTCAGACTGAATGGACATGTAGCTGGTGGCACTCAGCCGTGAGGCACTGCTGGCATGAGAGATGGCCGATACGTCGCTCATGTCACTGTCTGATGACCTCGCAGACATGTTGTCACAGCTCCTCCGCTGGTCCTTGTACATCTAATCAGTGAAGGACAAAATACTGAATCAAGCAATTGTGTACAAGTATAGAAACCCACAACTAATATAATACTCATGTAAAAATTATTAAGTACTTTTTTTTTTTTTTAAATAAATATTAATTAAACAAATATTAAAGTGTTAAACTTATTACAAAGAAAAAAATATATTTAGCAAGAATATTAATTCATTTATTTTCTTTTCGGCTTGTCCCTTTAATAATCCGGGGTTGCTACAGCGGAATGAACCGCCAACTTATCCAGCACGTTTTTACACAGCAGATGCCCTTCTAGCCGCAACCCATGTCTGGGAAATTTGCAAGAATATTATTGATTTAATTACCAAAACTTTTCATGCACTGATATACACAATTAATAATGAATAAATAAAGCATGTAATTTTGTACATAAAAATAAATAAAAATGATCAGCTTAAATTTTTTTTTTTGAAGTTTACAATAACTTTTTATTCTTTTACTTTGCTAAATGTATGAAATGCAATGCTGTGAAAAATCCAGTGCTCAGCATAAATGAATACACCCCTCACAGTTGTATCTTTTTATTTGGTATTTTCTATGGGATGCTTTAAAACAATATAAGTGTGCACATACATTAGGTTAGCCAGTCGAAAGCCAAAGCCAAAACGGGAACTAATTGCATTTAAGGCTGCAGTCAAAACATTAGTAGGCTTAAATAATATGTTAGGGAAAATGTTAAATACAATTTTAATAAACAGGTAGAATCAAGAGAATCAATAACGCTTGAATTAAAAAATATTATCTTTCTAATCCTAAAGATGATACTGTAGGTGACAGAACTCTTATTTTAATGAATATAACTGCTGAGCACTGTACAATACTTTGTCTTGAAATGTATTTTGTCTTGAAAGAAAAAGTAAAATTTTCCTTGACAGTAGTATAGTAAATATACTTAGTTCCTGCAATTAAAACATGTTAGACAAGAAATATTGAGAGGCGTTCATAACATTACAGCATATCAAGGCAGGTTAAGACTCACATCTCTCCTGTTCTTAAGCTCTGCCTCTGGATCATGAGCAGAATTGGCAGAAGATCCCGGCCGATACGAGTGCACTCTCATCTGCAACTGACGAGCCCGCTCCTCCACTGCTAGAGCTGCAAGGAAACACACAGGAAAAGAAAATGACAAATGAAACAGGAGATAAAATGGTGTCCTTTAAAGTAAAATAAAAGAGTGTAAATTCAAACTAAATGAGAACAAATTGACAAATTTATCTGTCAACAAACAGCCTTTCAGTGGAAATGCATACATATTCAAATCTCCAGTGCTTAATAATTCAGCTCAAAGCAAGACAGCAGCCAAAGTCATTGTTTTTTTATGCATTAGATTAGTCAGTTTGGTAATATCTCGTATAAGAGTGCAAATTATTATATATATATATATATATATATATATATATATATATATATATATATATATATATATATATATATATATATATATATATATATATTTGTTTTATTGCAAAATATGTCTTTTTCACCAGGAAGGTTCATACGTAGGTTCAAAGGCAGACACTGATAAGATCAGGACCTATGTGTGTGGACTTCGGGGGTTTTACAATGTGGCCACATGTTGATTGGATTAGTTTGTATGTCTCAGTATTTGGGCTTTGGTCACATGATCAAGAAAGATACTAAATAGGTGGTAAACTTTGCTCTGGCTCTTTTCCTGCTCTGCTCCTCTCCTGCTCTAGAGTCTATCTTCTCTGACTCTACTGCTATCAGACTGTCTTTGGGGGCTACTCTTTGTTTTTTTTGTCTCCCTCTGTCTCAGGTATCTTATTTAACATTTATTCTGGGTACAATAATATCAGATATTTTTATCTTTTCATGTTTTACCACTTTATACAGCATTAAATCATTTCATTTTCAATTGTTCCGTGATTTATTTTTGATTTATCTTAATAATTAATTGCTCCATATTGGCAATACAATACTATCTCATAATAGCAACGCTCTCCCACATGTTTAGCTATTATAACTGCCTGTATTTCCGTTTTTGATATAAGATTGCAGAAAGATGGTTTGACGAGATATGTACAGTTTTTCACCATCATACTGAAAACTTTTTAGTCATTCGGCAGAACTACAGTTTAAACCGCTGTAGGTTAAAACCCATCATTACACTTGCTTCCATAATGTTTTCTTTCATACAAATGAAAGACATTCCAAATACACATATGTGCATTCGTGTTATTAGACCCTATCTATATACATATTTAAATAACTTCTAAAGGCTTTTTTTTAAACTGAAAACGTGTTTTTCCCCCAGTAATGTTTTTTACAAAATAGTTCGTTCATTCATTCATTCATTCATTCATTCATTCATTCATTCATTCTCTTTTTGGCTTAATCCCTTTTTTTAATCTGGGGTCACCATAGCAGTATGAACCGTCAACTTATCCAGCATATGTTTTACGCAGCAGATGCCCTTCCAGCTGCAACCTATCTCTGGGAATCATCCATACACACTCATTCAAACTCATACTCTACAGACAATTTAGCTCCCCAATTCACCTGTACCGCATGTCTTTGGACTGTGGGGGAAACCGGAGCACCCGGAGGAAACCCACGCAAACCAGGGGAGAACATGCAAACTCCACAGAAAAACGCCAACTGACCCAGCAGAGGCTCAAACCAGCAACCTTCTTGCTGTGAGCAGCACTACCTACTGCAGCATCGCGTCGCCCCTTGTTAATTTCCAAAAGCATAGTGATTTTTTTTTTCTGTAATTCTTGATTTAGTAGTATTAATAGTATAATAGCATTATTGATTTATGGAGTGACTTATAAAAAATAAACATCCAAATTTCTTCTGTACCACACTTTATCCATCACTTGGTGACTTCCAAAAGTCAAATAAATTTGATTAAACTATTACATTTACCATGTTTTAACCATAACCCACAGAAGATAGTAGTGTTAATAGTAAAAAAAAAACTTTAAATTGCTTTTTTGTAATAGGATTAGTGTGTTTACGTTAGATTAACAACACAGCAATAGTGTCAGCTGCAGCAGATTATTTTATAGCACCAGGTTAAATTTTAAGACAACTTTATGAACATTGAGGATGACCTCTGATTGGCGGTCTCAAAAATTAAACCAAGTATAGACTTGTGCTGAAAACATTGTGTCCACCAGTCTTTTTAGTTGAGGTTAATATTAAATTAAACAAATTAATAAATGACTATAATAATGATATGGTTGTTAAACTGCACTTTTTTCTGTTGTCAATATGCTTAGGTTTATATAGACCTATTGATGAGCAACATTTGCATATGTGTAACTACCTAAGAGGAATTTGAGGGTTGCGAGTCACTGGTATTGATAGTTATTTTAGGGGTTGCGAGCTGAAAAATTTGGGAACCCCTGATGATGATCTATAATATGTTAACAAAATAAATAAATTTTAAACCTGCCTTCCCTTACCGATAAACACCACAAGCTTCACATTTGCACCCAAATGTTAAAATCACATATGAAATATGTGGAACATGTTCAAAACATACGTGGAATGTGATTTTGGAACATTTCCATTTGAAAATTGTGTGATCCAATTCTGGACATGTGTGATCACATAGGTAAAAACCTTACAGATAAGGAAATAAACGTTCCAAAACTATACGTTTAGATGTGTTCCGCATATTTCAGATGTGTTTTTAACACCTGACTGCACATAAGGCTTGTGTTTCATTTTTTTCAGTAAGGAATTTTCCAATGTTAAATTTTTGCTTTGGAAATTATTAAATGTTTAATTAGATTATATAATAAGTCTAACTGGTCCAAGCAAGTTATTATCTTCTTCAAGTTACTTAAGGATGGTGTATCATTAAGACACCAGCTAAAGATTGTGAATCCGAACAAGTTTCTGGTACACAAGCCATATTCACATATTGTATAGTTGGAACAACAACAAACTACTAATTAAGTTAAATTTATTTAGACAAGCAATTGATTATATTTAGGGCAAAAGTCTGAGGATGGTATGAGATACCTGAGTTAGGTTTCTCCTCAGGTATACGGCCTTCGTGAAGATGGGGTTGTAGGAATGAGGAATGACATGAAAAGAGACAGAAAGGAGTAAGGTAGAAAGATCTACATGAGTGATCTTGCTGAGAACATGAAGAGGCTTCGGACAGAGGAGTCATGAAATTATCTGACATATATAAAGGCTAGTACTGAAACACATCCATGAGCTTGGATGATTTTGAATGCTAATAAGCTTCGGTTATGATTTTGTGAGAATATTGAAATATTGAAAGTGTGAATTGCTTACCTTGTTCTATACTGCTGCTCTTTGCAGGGAGTTGTGGCAGCTGTCGGCCCCTGCGCCCTAATGATGTGGTCCCTGCTGGAGAATAATGTCCTCCGTGTGGAAGATCTCTGAAATGAGAGGGATTTCATTAAGGGACAAGAATAAAAATCTTGTAAAAGCAGAAAAACTGAATTGGTTACTATTGTCTAATTTGATGAACCACACTGTAAAAAATGCTGTCAAATTTACAGTGTTCCCAGCAATTTTGGTTGCAAGTAATACTGTCAAATTTAAGTGTAAGTTAATTATTACAATTGCAGTGTAAAAACTACAGCCCAATTGTAACTGTTAATTTACAGTGGAGTTGTCAATTTTACAGTATTACTAGCAACCAAAAATGCCAGGAAAAATAAAAAAAATTTAAGCATTTTTTACAGTGCAAGACTTCATTCAGTTATATTTCATTTTTATTACTTTTCTTTTAGTTAGTTAATACAAATACAAAATATTTATGGTAAGTTCAGTTTAGCCTAGATACATGAAATAATAAATATATTTTACATTTTGGTAATGACTCAAACCAGTGTTTTTTTTCTTATTTTTTTTAATACACAAAAGAAGATATACTGAAGAATGTTGGAAGCCTGCAACCAATGTCTGCCATAATATTTGTTTTTCATATTATGGATTGTCAGTGGTTTCCAACATTTTTCTGTTGTGAAAACTTATGAAATTATTGTTTAATTAGTAAACGAGTCATTTAACATGTTTAACTTAATATGATTTTTAAAATATGCTTCAAAAGAATTTTTCACAGTTTATCTTAACTATAATGTACAGTAGTGAAGAATCTGAGAATTATTTTAGCAAACCTATGTGTGTTGTTTCAAAAAAAGAACGCTAAAGTTACTTAAGTAACCCTTCGTTCTCCGAGAGGGGGAACTCCAATGCTATGTGGAAACTTCCACTTTGGGGTTTTTGAGTATTAGGTAACCCTTGGTGATTGAGGAAACAATTCCGTTAGGGTGTTGAAAGGGTGTTGCTGCGCCATTCTCCCTAACACGGAGATGTGTGCGCCTTTTAAGCTTTCTCAGTTCAGTTTTCCATTTGGCGAACCCTGCAGAGTTCCTCCGAGGCCCCCAGCATCTGACTCAGTGGAGTCAGACTTTGGCCCGTTACATTGTTGGCATGACTGCTGGTCAGTCTGCGTTCTGGGTATAGGTGCCTGCTATGTGTGATCCCCTGCGGGCGATCCCATAAGCTCACTCAACCACAGTTTAGTCCCCCCTTTTTTAAGGCGGGCTCGTGTCTTCCCTCCCCGCTAACCATCCGCTATTATGAACTCCTCACTTTCGGGGCTAGTCCACAGGCTGTCACCAGGTCTCCCCTCCTTGGGTAGCAGGTGAGCTCCGCAGCGTCCTCCTTATCGGGACTGAACGCTTACCCAACATACTGTCATATTAAAATCCCTTTTCACTGGGTTATTTTCGACTCCTTGAAAAATATAGCTAAACCTGAACAGGTAGGTAAGGTAAGTAAGGGCCAGGGGATAAGTTGGAAGAATGCATTTTGCACTGTTGTAGGTGCGCTCGCTCTACTGCGTGGCACACCCTTCGCCAGGGATGTGGTAAGGTTCTTTCATTGTGGCGTTTTCCATAGATTTTCCCATAGTGGAAGTTTCCACATAGCATTGGAGTTCCCCATCCGAAGGGGAACGCTACGGTTACTAAAGTAGCCCTTCGTTCCCCAAGGGGGGAACGGAAATGCTATGTATGTACCTTCGCCACAACGATTGTCCCTTAGCTGTTGAGCGTGAAAGTCTCTTCAGCTCAAAAGGATGTCGAGCATTGCACTAGCCGTGTCTTTATAGAATGATTGATTGTCATTGACAACAGCTGTGCATCCTGACGCCACCAACTCATTGGCATTTTATTGGCCCGATTTTATACTCCTTCAGATGATTGGTTTCTGACGAAAACCCCATAGTGGAAGTTTCCACATAGCATTGGAGTTCCCCTTTCGAAAGGGAACGTTCGAGGTTACTAAAGTAACCCTTCGTTCCCCGAGGAGGGGAACGGAAGCACTATAAGTGGATTTGATTGTAAAATCCACGCATTGGGAGGTTCGGTTCAGAAGCTACTCGTCTGAAAGAGTATTGAACGGGCCAATTAAGAATGAATTGGCAGCGCAAGCCTGCGCAGGTGAGCGGCATAAGCAATCAACTGAGTATATAAGCTCACCTGGTGCCAGCAGACGCTATCCTTTTTAAGCTGAAGAGACTTTCAACAGCTAAGGGACAGTCATTATGGCGACGGAGTATAGTGCTTCCGTTCCCCTCCTCGGGGAACGAAGGGTTACTTTAGTAACCTCGAACATTCCCCTTCGGGGGGAACTTCAGCACTATAAGTGGATTTGATTGTAAAATCCACGCATTGGGAGCCCATTGAAAGCGCCATAATGACTGCACCTTACCAACACCCCCGATGAGGAGATAGTCAAGCAAGCGTGACGCACCCACATCATGGGGGGCGCGGTCCTCCAACGTGTCCCTGGCCCTAATTTATCCTACTTCAACAGAAGTTTTACGGATTTATATATATTTTTTGGGAAGTCGTGAGCATCTAGATAATTCTAGGAAAATACGACAGTACGTTGGGAAGCGTGCAATCCCGATAGGGAGGACGCTGCGGAGGCCATCCGTTACCCAAGGGGGGATAGATGGCAGAATTACCTATGGACTAGCCCTAAAAAGGGGGAGTACGCATAGCAAAAGAGTGGTTAGCGGGGAGGGAAGACACGGGTCCGCCCAGGGGGGGGACTTAACCGTGGCGGAATAAGCATATGGGATCGCCTAGTGGGGATCACTCATAGCAGGCACCTTTACCCAAAAAGCGGGCTGACCAGCGGGCAGACCTACAACGTAGTGGGCCAGCAAGTGACTCCTCCGCTGAGTCAGTGCTGGGGGCCACGGAGGAATCTGCAGGGCTCACCTGACGGGGAACTTTACTGACAGATAAAAAGGCGCACGTATCTCCGTGTTAGGGAAAATGGCGCAGCAAGCGTGTTTCAACACCCTACCGAATTGTTTCCTCAATCACCAAGGGTTACCTTATACCCTTGAGGAAACCGGCTCCACTCGCAGATTGTAAAACCTTGCAAATGTGTTGGGTGTTACCCAGCCCGCAGCTCTACAGATGTCTGTTAGAGGGGCGCCGCGTGCGCGCGCTCGAGAGGATGCGAAGCTCCGAGTTGAGTGCGCACGCGCTCTCGGGGGACGCGGCTCATCTCGGCTCTGATAGTGAAAGAAAGGCATCCACAATCTAGTGGGAACTTATTTCGGTACGGCACTTCCCTGCTGCCGACCGCTATAACAGACGAAGAGCTGCTCAGATGATCTAAACTCTGAGTGCGGTCCGGATAATACGCAAAACGCGAACTGGACAATAAGAAGGGCTGGGTCTGCCTCCTCCGAGGGCAGCGCTTGCAGGCTCACTACCTCGTATTAAAACGGAGTGGTAGGAACCTTGGGCACATATCGCGGGCGGGGTCTCAGGACGTGAGAGAAGCCAGCCCAATTACAGGCACGAGTCACTGACCGAAAAATGCCTCCGGGTCCCCGACCCTCTAATCGATATCAACGCGACCAGCAGAGCTGTCTTCAGGGACAGAAAAATACTGAGTCGAGGATCGAAGGGATCTGACGCGGCTTGTGTAGCGAGGGCGAGATCCTAAGAGGGCATGAGAGGGGGCGGGGTGGATTAATTCGCTTAACGCCCCTGAGGAACCGGATGATGAGGTTATGCGTTCCCACGGTACTGCCAGCCACCGCGTTATAAGAGCGGAGATGGCAGCCACGTAACCTTGAGTGTGGAGGGCGACAGCCTGCTCTCCAACTTCTCTCGGCGTAAAGAAAGCACAACGCTGATCTGGCAAATTACGGGGGTCTTCTCAGCGAGAGACACACCATTCAGTGAATAGACTCCACGTCAGGGCATAGGCGCGCTCGGAGAGGGGGCTCTAGCCCGAGTGACGGTATTAGCCACCGCAATCGGAGGTTACCTAAGTCTTCCTCGCGTCTAAAAATCTCTTCAAAGATCGGCGAGGGTGCCAGGTGGTGCCCTGTCCCTGAGAGAGTAGGTGCTCTCTCGAAGGGACTGCCAGGGGAGGGCTATCGCGAGGGAGAGCTCTGACATCCAGGTCCGGTTGAGCCAGAGGGGCGCAACCAGCAACCTGTTCCTCGTCCTCCCTGACCTTGCACAGTAACTGCGCGAGCAGGCTCACTGGGGGAAACGCGTATTTGCGCGTGCCCCGAGGCCAGCTGTAAGCCAGTGCATCCGTGCCGAGAGCACTCGGTCAGGAAAAAAACAACTGGCAATGAGCGATCTCGGGGGAAGCAACAGATCGATCTGGGCTTCCCCGAATCGCGCCCATATCAGCTGAACAGACTCGGGGTGGAGTCTCCATTCTCCAGGACGCAAGGCTGCCGTGAGAGCGCATCGGCTGCACGGTTGAGCTTGCCTGAATATGAATGGCGTGCAGCGATTTCAGCCGCGGATGACTCCAGAGGAGCAGACGGCGGGCGAGCTGAGACATGCGGCGAGAGCGCATACCCCCTATACGGCTGATATACGCCACCGCCGCCGTACTGTCCGTCCTGACCAGCACGTGTTGCCGCTCCAGCACCGGAAAAAAACGGTGGAGAGCGAGGAACACTGCCAACAGCTCCAGGCGATATGCCAATGCAACTGGGTACCTTTCCACAGGTCCGCAGCCGCATGCCCGCAACGCACAGCCCCCCAGCCCGTGTTGGAAGTGTCTGCTGAAACGACAACAAGACTGGACGCCTGTTCTAGAGACACCCAGGCCTGTAGGAACGAGGGGTCGCTCCAAGGGCTGAGGGCGCGGCGACACAGCGCAGTAACAGAGACTCGGTGTGCGCGCGCGTGCCATGCGCGTCTGGGGACTCGATCGTGAAGCCAGTGCTGAAGTGGTCTCATATAGAATAATCCGAGCGGCATGAAGCGGCTGCGGATGCCATATGCCCCAGGAGCCTCTGAAATAGTTTCAGTGGGACCACTATTTTACTGTCGAGCTCTCTCAGACAGTACAGCATCAGCTAAGCACTCTC